GTGCCGGCGAAACGTTTGGGAATGTACTGCGTCCACGGTCCGACTTTGGAAATAATTATGCATACAATGGACTCAGGACAAGGTACGTTCCTATAAGTCTTCCTATCAATATGACCAAGTTGCGAAAACAAGGTCAAACAACTTCTATACAACGGAAGGAGACTGCGACCACAAAAATATACCACACCATCTTGTTCTACATACTTTCGAAAAAAATATATAATTTGTCCTTAAGTGCTCTTTCATTCGAAAAAAATTTACCTACCTTTCCATCAGAGTCAAGCCGAATAGCTGATCCAAAGTCAATAAGTTTCAGATGGCCACTGCGTTCAATAGCGAGATTCTCCGGCTTGATATCACTAAGTCAAGAAAATAAATATTTATTAGTACAGAGATAACTAACAGATTACAAAAGCAGGACATCTTCCAGAAAAAGAAGCAAATATAAATGGGTGTCTTCTCATCGACTGCTCAAGAGAAAATGGTACGATAGGATGAAGTAATATATAGTCTTGAATGTTTAAAAGTCGCAGGCTGACTGGCATTAGTGGAATGATCGCAAGAAAGAAATGACAGTAGCGAATATAGGTGTATCTGAAGCAAAAATATAGAAATGAACAAATAATTACGTCGACAATAGGCTGCTTTTATTTACCCATGTGCATAATGTGCAATTTTGAAATAAATAAAAATTAGTTGATTATGCGGCAACAAGAGAAATTTACCAGTGAATGTAGCCCATTTGATGAAGTGAGTGAACAGCAGCGATAGCTTCAGCAGCATAGAACTGGATAAAGTTGGCATCCAGAATATACCAGACTCTGAAAAATATAAATAAATAAACCAGAATATAAAGCTTTTAGATAAGCCAAACTATGATAGGATTAAAGAAAAATAGTAAAAAGCTAAATGACCAAGGGCATTAAGCTCTCCCCAAACTTTAACTATTGGTTCGACCTTGTTTTCTCAACTTGGTCACCACGTCAAGGAGATATTTTAGAACGTTAATAGTCTTGTGTCTTCTGTCAGAGTATTCGTCCGTTTTCGGCCATCAAGGTTTGATGACCCCTATCTCCCCTTTCTACATGCATGTTATAACAATCACTCAGATTGCGCAAGGTAGGACAGACATCTGATTTTGTTGATGAGCCTTTTTTTGTTTTTGGCTTCAATTTGAGCTAAAGGAAAGAGAATTGACTATTATTAGAGCTAAGACAAGAAAAGACTGGTTGTGTCGCCTCCTTTTTGCAGGTGGCTTAATTCTCTTCAAGAATTAAAAAGTGGGATGTCAGTACACCTTTGGCTTACGGTCTTGCAAAAATATGCAAGGAAGGAGTTCCTTTAGGATTGATTGTTAATAACAAGGGAACTGTGATGCATATGATTTCATGTTTCTTATGTAGACAACTAAGGAAATTGGCTGAGTACTGAAAATATTCAGTGAATAATTCATATCCTCCTTCAATTTCGGTGAAAAGATGCTAAGCTTTAATCCGTCATATGACGAGCATCATCAGAGCAAGGTATCGTCACAACTAAATTCAAACTAGCTTAATATTGAAAATGTTTTGTGAAGAATTCATATGAATTTGCTA